ACATGGCGGCTCACAGGGGGCGATCAACAAACGTGTTGTTTCGCTCCATCATCCAAAATTCCTTGGTGGTAAGTTCATCTTTGCTTCAGTCTCTTTTAGCCCCAATTTTCCTTTTAGTGACATGCTCTTTTATTTGCAGGCCACCCAACAGATTTTCATAATAGCGGCGCGGTACCATGGGACTAGGATGGACCTTCAGCGGGTTCGAGAGCAGAAGGAAGAAACCAAGGGAGCCTTTGTCAGTGCCAAGGAGGATGTCGTTGCAAGGGATTCCACCCTCGTCGGGCAGGCTGCTCAAATCGAGCAACTCCTCAAGGAGGTCGAGTTGGCGAGGGTCGACGCTGAAAAGCTAAGTGCTGCCCTTGCCGACGCTGAGAGGAGGATAACAGAACAGACGCAGCGGCTCTCTGCGGCAGAGGAGAGGGCTGTTGGTTCAGAGGAAAGCTGCCTGGCTCTGACCCAGGAGCTGGACAGGATCAGGGATGAGGCACTGAATAGGAAGTCCGAGGAGCAACTCCGAGAAGAGTTCGCCGATGACGTGCTCCCTGCTCTTGAGGAAAACAGCAAGGAGTTCTTCAAGAGGGGGTGGGACGAGGCGCTCCAGTCGGCCGGAATCCTGTCAGACTCTCCGCTCTTTCAGATGCACAAGTACGTGCCCTCGGCGGAGATGGAACGGGCCGAAGTAGAGATTGCTGCCGAGGGCGATATTCCAACGCCGGTGCAAGTTTCGGTGGATCTGCCTGAAGCGGTAATAGTGGATCTGTCTGATGAGGCCCTGTCGGATCGAGACCCGGACTATAATATTCCTCAGGATCCTTCGTTTCTGCCTCTCGGGCGGGGAGCCCACGAGAGAGGAACGAGTCCCTCGACGCGAATTCGTTGAGCCGGCTTAGGACGTTTACATTGTCCTTTTCCAGCTGTCGTAATCTATCGCCAAACTTTTCTTCGATCACCTCCGCCAGCTGACGAGCCAGGGGGGCTGACCCTCCTGACCTAATTCCCATACTGGTTTGAGGGGTAACCCCTCTTGACTGAGTGGAGGCATTTTTACTCCCGTCAGTGTGATCCCTTCCTCNCTTTTCCAACTGTCGTAATCTATCGCCAAACTTTTCTTCGATCACCTTCGCCAACTGACGAGCCAGGGGGGCTGACCCTCCTAACCTAATTCCCATACTGGTTTGAGGGGTAACCCCTCTGGACTGAGTGGAGGCATTTTTACTCCCGTCAGTGTGATCCCTTCCTCCGTGGTGACAGGGAGCTTGTAGTTCGAGACTTCTTTGGTGGGGACCTTTCCCTTTTTGTCGAGTGTTCACCATGGTCACTGTTCTTTATAGAGAAAAAACTAGGAAAACTAGTCGTTTCCCACAGACGGCGCCAGATTGTGCATGCAGGATCTTGCACAATATAAAAAACGAGAACAGATTTCTCCCTTGGTGAACTCAAGTGAGTCAGCTGAGTGACCAACCACGCTGCTTGGGACAGCCTATGAGATCCGGTGGTAACCTGGAACGGTAACGGGAGACCCTCGTGAACTGAAGGGATGATCCAGTAAGGCTGGAAAAAGGTTCCTGGAACAAAGGAGAACAAGTTAGAAGGGCGCCAGAGTGTTTTCCGGCTTATCCCCTCCGACGATCAAGTCAGCTTTTGAAAGGGAGAGGAAAAAGAAAGCACTGAGTATCTCTCGTAGTGAAGAGTTTCTTGTTGCATACCGTTTTGCCTTTTATGAGGAGTATTTATACCTCAAAAGCTCATGATTGCTGTCAGTGTTGTCAGTAGATGATCATTAGGTACTGGCAGTGTGCGCACTGATTCTGATGAGGAATGTCTTCTTTTCTTTAACTGCTCGGGGCGCCGAGCAATCAATGCTGTGTCATCGGGCTGCCGACTGTCTAATGATCTCCGCTCGGGGAGGATGCAATAAATGCCCAGCTTCAGAGACATTTATTGCCTTTCAATTCCGAGCCTTACCGCATTGAATGCGGTCTCATCAATGAAATGGTGTAATTAAATGTTTGCTTTCCCAAGTCGCGTGTCAGTAAGGGCATGCGGTCTTTCTGTCTCTGATGTGACACAATTTGCCACGCGTCCATCCCTTATTGGCTGTGGACCCTGCCTTCCTGTTCCCTCTGACACCAATTGTTTAAGACGAGACCATGATAGCTAACCTAGACTAGCCTAGGCTAGTGACCTGTACATCAATAACTTATATTGGAGCAGAGAAAAAGGCATCTTGGACGGTACATCTCGGTACCGAGGATAGGTACATCTCGAGCCGAGGGAAGCCGTTCATGATGACCGAGGTACGAATACAGACCGAGGTACCATATTAGACCGAGGGATACGTGTCGGTTCGCAAAACGTACTCGACACGCATTAAGCACCTCGGGGCGAGGGTTTATAAGCCGATGGTACGTGATCTCAGTTAACAGAATTTTTAATAACGCCCAAGGACACGTGTCTTCATCTTGGAGTATTTCAGAAAAGTCCCATCATTAAGATATCAGCGCTGAGACATTAAAATCCTAGTTTTTCCCTAAAATAGAGGGTCAATCTTTATCTTGATTGTTAATTGCGATTGATCTATTTATCTTTCTCTCTCGAATGAATGACTCGCCTCTGGTGCCATTTCTAGCAGTGAAGTCACCAGTCCTTCAAACAAATCTAAGTTCTATTGTGCCAGTGATAGAGTCCAACGATTTAAATATGTAATTTTTGAGAGAACTGAAGACCAGAGAGAGGGGACAACAGGAGACATCCTTTCGCAAGCAATAAATGTGTGAATGCCAAAGGGGACATTCTTGTAATAAATAAAAAATGATATAATTAGTTTAGACTACAAAATAAAAAGTTAAAATAAATTTAATGTCTTAAAAAATAATTACTTAAACTAATTGACAAAATAGATCACCAAAATGGACTTATAGACAACTTTTATAATTTGTTATTGATTAAAACAAAACACGATTAAATTTTTATTTTTGTTTTATTTTTTTTGTAAATAATTATTATAAATAAATTAAGACAAGATTTACACCATTAGTACCGTGCTTTCCAACACCTAACAAAGGCAAGTGTCTAGGGAGGCGATAATTATGCCCCCCCGCCCAACCCTATTGATGCTATGGACAACGGAATACAGTTGGAAAGGCTTTGCCACCAAATGCACTTTCCTCATTCTATAATTTTGTACAGAGCTTTAATAGTAACTCTATACCCTATAGTACATAAAAAAATACTGTTGCCAGTCAAAGTAACGTTACGATGGTCTGAGTTTTATTTGTTATTTAATTATTTAAATTTTTTGATATTTAAAATATTATATACAGATCTTTTAAGATTTGTACGCATAATATTTAGATTTCTATCGTTAATATTCCTCAACAAATTAGTTAGTAAATTTTATCCGGACCTTCTAAAACTTATAAGTATATAATATTTAGATCTCTCAAGTTTAAAATATTACACTTAAACCACTTATTAGTTACAGAACTAACGAAATTTATTAAATGAGTAAATTATCTTAATTAAAAATAAAAGATATTGTATACATTACAATTTAAATCTTATTTAATTTTTTAGATTTATTCCAACAGATAGTATATATGTATATTAATTATGAATTTTTTTTTAAAAAAAATTAGATTTTTATTTCAATAAATAACATAATAAAATATGAATTTAGTTTATAAAATTTAAAATATTTGATATTATATCATTAATTAGAGTATTTTTTATTTAAGTATAATATTTTAAATTTGAAGAATCTAAATATTACATATTTAAAAATTTTAGGAAATTTAAATATAATTTATTAATAGATAGACTACCAAACGTTGATGGTAAGCGCTTAAGTATTACGTGTGTATAAATTTTAAAAAATTTGTGCATAATATTTTAAGTAATTAAATGACAAATTTTAAAGAATTTAAATGGTGTTCTCCCATGCTATTTTGTATACATGTGGAAAGATATCTTCTGGGTGTGGGTGACAAAGGCATGTGATGTGATTTTCAAAGTTGAGGGAATCTAATCAATTAAAAACCAAGACGCTTCCCAAGACTTTCCAGTGATATAGATGCAAGAAAACAGCTCTCGCCGACCCACCACCAACCATTTATAGTCCACCAACTGGCCTATATAATGCAACCTCAAACCTCATCTTCAACCTAGAGGGCGCTTAGGTTTTCTTCTTTGGATGAGTGAGTTCATATACTAGGGTTCTAGGTCCTTGTGATTAGTTTTGGATGATCAGAAGTTTGAGGTGCAGTTCATTTGTTAAATGGTCTCATTGGTTCGGGTGATGCTCATGGATCTGTGTTCATGGGTGTTTTCTGAACAGATATCAAGAAGGTGAATCTAGGATTTTTATGTTATACTTAATAGATCAGTGGTCTTTGTATGTGGTTTTGATTGAGTTTTGGTGGTTCGTCTGTTTTTTCTATTGCTAGATCGGTGGTTTTTTNCTTAATAGATCAGTGGTCTTTATATGTGGTTTTGATTGAGTTTTGGTGGTTCGTCTGTTTTTTCTATTGCTAGATCGGTGGTTTTTTTGTGGGTGATTTTTATGGTGGTGAGCGTTGGTAATTGTTTGTTTTTTTTGTACTTTGAATATATTTTGTGGTCACGGAGTCGTTCAGTGGTTTATTATTCGGGTTTCCTTTTAGGGTTTGATGGTGGAAGTTTTAAAGGGGTGTATGATATGTGGGTGGTATTCTGGTTTGGGTTAGTTATAAGTGGTATTAGGGTTCGTGAATTAGGGTTTTTGGAGTGGAGCTCCTTGAAGTCCAATAGAGGGTATTGCTGGGGAGATTGAGCTGCTGACTTATGGATCCCTCAGCCCTATCCCATTTCTGTTTGTTGGATAGGCTTGTGGCTTGCATATGTCAGGAGCTTTCACTACCCAAGTCAGATCCTTGTTTGGATTGAAGGGAGCTCTACACTTCTCTCTTAAATCTTGTTTTTTTGTTCTTGTTTGTGTTTTTTCAAGATTCAGATTCATTGTCCTTGAAGTTGGATGATTATACCTCGCAGTCATCAGTTTACTTTTCTTTCCATTAGTTGTTGAATTACTTGCTTGTATTGCTCTATATTTGCCTTCGCTATATCTGGTTCGCTCTGAAGGTCAAACACATCTGTTTAAGCATTTCACCTTGCTATTTTCTAGTTACTGTACAACTGCTAACTTGTTGCAGAGAGCCACAGATTCATCTAAACAATATAGAAGCAGATGGATCTACAGAATCACCTGTTTCTTGCATGCTGTACTTGGAGATCCAGGCAGAAGACTGGAAAATAGGGTTATATATTTGTTGTACAAAGTTTTTTGACTTAAAAAATCCTTTTTTGACTTAAAAAATCCTTTTTTTTTTTGGCGGTGGATCTTTGGTCTACAGCTGCTGTACGATGCTTGCTACCATAGTCTTGCTTATGTGCTGACTAAAATCAGGGAAAAGTTGGATAATTCGTATGCTTTTGTTGAGGTTTTAAGTTTTGCTGTTGATTTTCCTTTTCCCTTGCATAATTTACTTTATTATCCAGATCAAATCTAAAAATATGATTCCGTTACCTATATGGTGCTTTTCAATGCACAGACGACTACAATAAACTCCAAGCTTAGTTCCGTGTAAATGGGTTGTTGACATGAAGTCGACGGTTTGGCATGGTTAGGTTGGTATTTGAAATGATGTTTAGTATGAGTAATGCTGTGGACTTAATTTAGGGCACGATTAGGATCTACTTTATTGCATCTATTAGATTATTTTTTAGGCAAAACTGGTAGTGTTCTGATGCCTGGCGGCAAGTTTCTGAAACTTTGAGGCTCTCGATAGAGCTCAGGTATTGTGGTGGAAATTCAGCTCTCTTTCGGAGTTGTAGTCCTTTGGGTTTTCTTTTTGTTTTTTGGTCAGTGTAGGGAACTGTTGGGCTTGTACCGACATATAATAATATATCATGTTTTTTGATTTCCTGAATGTATAGTGTGCTCTTGGCTGCTTTGAATAGTGAAAAAGGCATGTGTAACTTTCCCAGTTGTGTAATGTCTTCTTCCATTTGTACGTTTAGAATTTCTTCTTTGTTAACTAGAAGTTGTAGCCAACCCGTCTAAAATAAGGTTGTTGAATTCGGTTTAATGCAAGTGTCTCATCATCATATTAAAACTAATAAATTAAATTTTAATTGAAATTATTGAATCAGTGAAGTAACTAGTTCGTGTTGAAGTGTAAATTAGTTATTTTTAAAACCTAATATTACTGTTCTAGTTTTGCTTATATATGCATTTGCTATTTTTACTTAAATCTTGGATTGGAAGGCTGATGATTATTTTTGTATTGGCAATGAACGTATTAGTGGCGAATCTGCCAATTACTAAAAAGATTGTTGGCTTCTTTTTTCAGTCTTGGCCCATCCCTTCAGAAGAAAGAACAATGAAATCTGTGCTTCGCCTATTCCTTGTTAAAGCATTTTCCATAAATTAGTGCATAATTGGTGGTCTTTCTCGTTATGGTTATTATCTTCTTTGAATTGTGAAAACATTTATAAAAATACGAGTTTTGTCAATACGCTAGGATAGGGATATTGCGGTAGCCATTTTGGTTATTGCTTGGCACCTGTTCAAACACGAGAACAGCATTGTAGAGAGAGATCTTGTAGAAAATAGTTGTAAATTGCCTTTTTATAATACCAATAATCTTGTGACAAAGTTATGCTGGTCAAATTTGTTTACTTACTATTGTTTCGTAACATATGCTGTGGGGCAGAATTTTTATCATTGAATATAGACAAGACTTGCTTATTTAGTGGTGTGTTGAGGATTTAGTACACTTTTTTGGTAAGTGTAAAATTACTTTTAAAAGTTTTAAAAGTTCCACTTCAATCTCGATTTAAAAGTTTTTTTTGTAAATTAGTTTTATTCATAGTGGGAAGATTTTGCATCTTTTCAAATGGATTTTTCCAATGATAGGGTGCTTTTGATTTTTATTTTTTTGTTTGTTGTTGGATGCTTTTCATGTAGTAGACAATAATAATCCTAATGTAATGTCAAATTAGGGTGAAAATTTTGATGTTGAAGGCATTCTCACAATTTTTCAATTCATACATTTGAATTTTTTTAAGTACTCTATTTAAAGGCATCGTACATTAATACAAAATAATTTCTGAATTCTCTATTAATTATTTAGAATAATGAATCATCTACTAATTAGTGAAAATTATGTTTATTTACTAACTAATGAGAATTATTTTTTATATGTTACTTAGTGAGAATTGTTAATTCATTTATTCATTTAGTAAAAAAATATCGAGTCATTAACTAAATACATTATTTAGGATACCCTCTTAGATAGCCATTCACCAGTTAGTGGATGAAATATAATATTCACTAATTATTGAATGATCCATTATCCTCACTAATTAGTGGAGTAATAAAAAATTATTTAAATTGTTAAGAATAATAGGGTAGTATGTGTAAATTATTAATAATAAGAGGGTGTGTGTTATTATTATTATTGTATGTTAACTATAAATACAAGTTATGTATGAGAGTTAGGTTAAAAAAATTTTAACCTCTCTCTTTCTCTCTAATATTGTCTTATGTTATTTCATTCAAATTAACATGGTATCAAAATTAAACAATTTTAAATCTAAATATTAAATAAAGGGTTCTTTGTTGTTGTTGTTATCCCCACTGTCATTGTCGTCGTCGATGGTTGAGTGTAACGAGAAGGTTGACGTTGGTGGTGTCTCGTTCAAACACTGTGGAGTGGTTGTCTGGTAGTGGTGGTGGCAGTCGCAGTCGATTGGGTTGATCGACTGGTGGCTGTGGTGATAGTCGAATAGGTTTGGGTGTGCCATTTATGTCATGTGGTTGTGTGGTGGTGTTGTGTGGCTGCGTGGTGGTGTTGTGTGGTGGTGCTACTGTGTGAATAGTGAGGAGCATCAGGGTTTGTTTGGGAAGAAGACAACCNCATGTGGTTGTGTGGTGGTGTTGTGTGGCTGCGTGGTGGTGTTGTGTGGCGGTGCTACTGTGTGAATAGTGAGGAGCATCAGGGTTTGTTTGGGAAGAAGACAACCTCCTGAGTCGGGTTTGGGTGGCTGAGTCCAGATCCAAGCCCAGATCTAGTAAAAAAAAAAAAATCCAAAATAGCCTAGTCTAGAACTGGTTCAACCCGGTTCAGTCTAGGTTCAGTCCCCAATTCAGCAAGATTTGCATCGGTTCAATCTCGGTTCAGCAGTCCAGTGGCTATTCCTTGGCCAATTTAGCAGTCCAGTGGCCATTTCTTAGCCAATTCAGCGGTTCAATGGCCATTCCTTGGCCGGTTCAGCAGTCTAGTGGCCATTCCTTGGCCGGTTCAACAGTCCAGGAGCTCAATTCAGTCTGGTCAGTCTTCCAAAGAGCTTAGCTTGACCGGTTCAGCCGTCCAGCCCCTCCTTTCAGTCCAGTTTAGTCTTCCAACTTTTTTTTTTCTCCTGGTTTAGCATTGTCACACTTCTTGTTTGCTATTTGTTGCACTATTATGGAACCCAACACAAGATACCAGGTCCCTTACTCCATCTTTGCCTCCTCCGACTCTTATCAATGGTCACATGACTTCTGTCAAACTTAATGGGACTAATTACACTTTATGATCCCGATTTGTTCAAGTCTTTCTTCGGGGCAAAGGATTTAAGAAATATTTTGTGGGTTCTAAACCCAAGGAAGACACTCCTAGGTATGATCAGTGGGAACAAGAGAATGCTCAGATTATTTCTTTATTGTTGAATAACATAGAGTCTAGTATTAGCTCTTTTCTACTCTATCTTGATACTACCAAAGAGATATGGGATCACTTGGCCACTATGTAATATGATACAGGTAATTTTACCCGTGCGTATGAGGTGTGCAAGGAATACTTCCGNATTATGGTACAGGTAATTTTACCCGTGCGTATGAGGTGTGCAAGGAGTACTTCCGGTTGGAGCAGGGTACTCTGAGTCTTGCGGATTATTACTCTCATGTTCAGGAAATCTGTGAGGAGATGAAAACTTATCATCCGTTTACTACTGATGCAGCAGTTTGGCAAAAGCAACATGAGGACTTGAATGTTGTTCGATTTTTGGTAGGATTGAAACCTGAATATGAGGCTATTCGTTCTCAGATTTTGGGTGGATCTAGTTTTCCATCACTACTAGAGGTTTTCTCTCGTTTACAGCATGCTACGTTGTCTACTCTTTCAGTCATTGATCATGGTGTCTCCACTGATCGCTCAGCTCTTGTAGTTCCTAATAGCCATAGTGATGGTCATCGAGATGGACGTGGTAGTCGCGGAGGTCGTACGGGAGGTCGTATGGGTGGTTGTGGAGTTCGTAGTGGATCCCGTTCCTGTACTCACTGTGGCTGTGGAGGAAACCCTGTTGATTTCTGTTGGGATTTACATGAAAAACCTTCTAGTACTGTTAATCAGACTTCTTATCAAGATGACACTTCTGTTGTTGCTTCCATACCTCGGTCAGCTCCACCAGACACTGGGTTGGTTATTNAGTTGTTAAGAATAATAGGGTAGTATGTGTAAATTATTAATAATAAGAGGGTGTGTGTTATTATTATTATTGTAGGTTAACTATAAATACAAGTTATGTATGAGAGTTAGGTTAAAAAAATTTTAACCTCTCTCTTTCTCTCTAATATNAATTGTTAAGAATAATAGGGTAGTATGTGTAAATTATTAATAATAAGAGGGTGTGTGTTATTATTATTATTGTATGTTAACTATAAATACAAGTTATGTATGAGAGTTAGGTTAAAAAAATTTTAACCTCTCTCTTTCTCTCTAATATTGTCTTATGTTATTTCATTCAAATTAACATGGTATCAAAATTAAACAATTTTAAATCTAAATATTAAATCAAGGGTTCTTTGTTGTTGTTGTTATCCCCACTGTCATTGTCGTCGTCGATGGTTGAGTGTAACGAGAAGGTTGACGTTGGTGGTGNCTGTGTTATTTGTTCCTCAAGTTCATTTTAGTTTACTTTCCATTAGCAAGATTATCCGTTCTGTAATTTTTTATCCCTCTTATTGTGTCTTTTAGGATCTCAAGACGAAGAGGAAGATTGGTACGGGGCATGAAACTGGTGGCCTATATTACCTTAACTTTGATTCATCTATCCGAGCTCTACAGACCTCGTTGTCTCCTTTTCAATGGCATTGTCGTCTTGGACATCCTTCTCTCTAGAATTTGAAGAGCCAAGCTCCCAGTCTTAGTTATGTGTCATTTTTGTCTTGTGAAGCTTGTCAACTTAGTAAGCATCACCATGTGTTATTTCAATCTAGAGTTAATAATCGTGTGTCTAGTCTATTTTGATGTATGAGGTCCAATACAAAATATTTCATCTAATAAATATCCTTATTTTGTGACATTTGTGGATGACTAATCTCGTGTGACTTGGTTATTTTTGATGAAAGTTCGGTCTGAATTATTCTCTATATTTGAGACTTTTCGTAAAGAAATAAAAACTCAGTTTGGTTGTCGTATACGTACTTTACNAATATGATACAGGTAATTTTACCCGTGCGTATGAGGTGTGCAAGGAATACTTCCGGTTGGAGCAGGGTACTCTGAGTCTTGCGGATTATTACTCTCATGTTCANCAAAAATATGAATTTGATCCTTTTTTCAGCTTATCTTAGTAAAACTAGCCTTATTTATCAGACTTCTTGTGCTTACACCCCTCCAAGAAATGGTGTTGCTGAACGCAAGAACTGTCATTTGTTGGAAGTCACCTGTGTCTTGTTATTTCAGATGAATGTTCCCTGATATCATTGGAATGATGCCTTTCTTATTACTTGTCATCTTATTAATCGTATACCCTCCTTTGTGTTAAATGGACAAAGTTCATATTCTATTCTATTTCCTGGTAAGCCCTTATTTTTTTTCCTGACTCCTAAGGTTTTTGGTTGTGTCTGTTATGTTCACAATTTGGGTCCNTTTTCCATCACTACTAGAGGTTTTCTCTCGTTTACAGCATGCTACGTTGTCTACTCTTTCAGTCATTGATCATGGTGTCTCCACTGATCGCTCAGCTCTTGTAGTTCCTAATAGCCATAGTGATGGTCATCGAGATGGACGTGGTAGTCGCGGAGGTCGTACGGGAGGTCGTATGGGT